ATAAGCACATTCCCCTGTACTGCAGGTGGCATTTACACAGAGACAAGAACTTTTCTACAACCAGGAATTGATTTTCCCCTTTAATTTACTACTCAGAGAGGATGGCAGCATGCAACAATACAGCCAGGGAAGAAACAGTGTAAGCGGGACTGACTCAGTAGAACTGCCGTGGAGAGCGTCAGAGCTGGAGGCTTGCTAACCAAACCCGACGGACACCCGCTGCACATCACCGCCTGCCAGGACGGCGCCGGCTCGCGGAAATCAGTGACAGCCTTCGTATCGATTAGCTTCAGTCCTTTCCCACTGATATTAAAACTGATGGCTAACAGCCACAGAGTAACATGTCAGGGACACAAAGACGTATATAAACATCCAGACACGCTGCAATTACTCTTCCAGCAGACAGCCTGGCACTAAGCTGTTCCATGCCTTTCCTGGAAAAGGCTTCATGTCTCTGGTGCTTTAAAAGCTGCCTATGGCAAAAGCAAGTACTGCTAATCCCCAAACCACAGCTATGACTGAGTCACAGCCACTGTTACAGACACTTGTCTTTCATTGAAGAAAGATTCTTAAATTTAAAATTCAAATGAGTATTTTTATTAGCTGGAAGAGAGGTATGATAAGTAACTGAACATTCTCAAGTTAAATTGCAACTATAATTTCATCATTAATGAGTTTCATTTTTAAGTAATTAAATGAGCATGATAACTTTTTAAACTATCAGTCAGAAATGGATTCTCTCTGTAGGCTTACACAAAACAGCAATAATATGAATCCTCCATTATCACTAAGTTCCCACATTCAAAAGTCAACACTACAATTGCTGTCCCTCTTTAGACCTCTTACTAGATAGTCTTTTGTAGTGGCGTAACAATGTAAAGTGTTTCAGAAGACAGAGGTATTGAAAAAGACATTTATGGGGCAGACTGAGTACATGTAAAAACTAATTTTCACCCTGCAAGTGAAAGTCCTCAACCTATGAGTCGCTTGGCCAGGGTTCTTGAAGCAATTTCCCTTGTACCTGCATTATCCTGAACACACAATAGTACAAGGTAAAAACTGCCTCTTTTTCCCCGCTGCAGTCTTTGTCAGTTATTCAGAAAAGCCTTCTGACACTTCCAGAAGTCTAGCAGATAGTAGCATCTTCATTTTTATTCAAAGTCACACTGCTGATAATATCAAAACAAAACAGTAAATTGAAGGTGTGGTTGTAGAGCTGGGAAATACAGGAAATTTTTGTGTCAATAGTACCACCTGCTGGATCTCGAGAAGATAAGAGAGTTAGAGACTAATCAACATTGACATAAGTCATACTAAGATGCTATTCAACACTCTTGCACAAATGCTCCCATAACTAAACCGTTACAAATGAACCAATAACAAACTGCCAGATCTTCTAATGAGCTGCCAAAAACCTGCAGAAAGATCACTGAAATTTTCAGTATGTGTTTCTTGTTAAATAAGATATTCAAAACTCAGTACACACAATTTATCACGTGAATAAAAAACTTAAAATCAGGCAGCCCAGCAGCCCCATTTATAAAGCAATGTGCTACTACTATTAATGTCAGTGTTAATTATGTTGTGGTTTGCTTTTTTTTTTAGGTTGATTACATAACTAATGTGTTATTCCACTACAGTATTATCTGGCAGTGTGGGGGAAGTGGACAAAAATGCTCCCAAGGCACTAACACAAACAAACAAAACCCCCCTATCATGTTACTACTGAGCTACCAGGCATTAATATTTCTGATATCACAGCATCAAGAAATACTTAGCATGCAGTTAATCAAAGAGCACTGCTACCAGTAATGGAGAAGAGCATGCTTTGCTCCGTTAAGTGATCGCTGCTGTGTTTATGAAGATGAGCTTCACCCCAAAGAACAGAAGGATGTTCTGCACTGTTCACCCTCAACACAGAGAGTAAGTTTCCAAGAGGAAAAAAAAAAAAAACAGAGATTCAGTGGTAAGGATTAGGAGACTGTCTTAAGAAAAGGAAGATGGGTAACTGCTACTGCATGTTTTCAGATATGCTTCCCAGAGCAACACAGATGAACTCAGCCAAAAACCGCAGGCCAGGTCTGTTTACTAGTGCTATCACACACCGCACAACCGCCCCAGGAAATCAGCTGCCACAGACCAGAGAGCTCTCTATCAATCCTTACCTGGGCTCCTAGAATACAGCGAGTCTAACTCCTCACTCATATAGAGCCCAAATTACCCCCAAAATCTGATTTTGGACCTAATTTTCAACCTATCACTAGCTATTAGTGTACCAAAACACACAAAGATCCCACTGAATTCTTTTCAAACCACACATCCTAAGAATTTCTTTAAGCTCATTCTGGGAAGTCTCAAGAACCGGTTATTAAAGGACCTCAATCTAAGTGACTTTACTGAAAGGTCATCCATAAAACTTTGGCAATAAAAACATTGGCCTTGAAAACCCTCAGTATAAGTCCTCTTTTACAGAACAAGAATTTGTTATCATACTTCCAGCTACTTCTCAATAAACAACTTTACCTTATGCAGGCACTTTGAAAGAACTGAAGTTTTGCTTGAACTGCTCACCTTTTCAGTTACGTGTTTTACCAGCTCACACTACCAGAAAGCCACGTTCTCTCTCTCTCTCTCTCTGTGCAGAGTTCTGTCCACGTGCGCTTCAGACTTCCTCTAAATCTGTTAAATGCAGGAAAGTGCATTTTAGCCGTTCTCATGGGTTTTCATCTGATAAATCAAACTGGGTACTGCACACCCACCTAGGAACCCCTCAGTTCTAACCTGAAGCTTGAGAAACACTATGCATTTAATCCACATAACCATAAAACAATAGCATCTTGATACTTGAAATAAAAAAAAAAAACAAACAAAAAAAAAAAAAAAAAAAAAAAACAAAACACAGATGCTTTCACTACAAAGCAGAAAGCTACATCACAACACAATACACAATGCAACAGAAGAGTTACAGCACCTCTGCTGCTGCTCCCAGGCCAGCCCCCATGCTCTGCCAGAGCTTCCATACACTCCTGCAGGCAACCGGCCCCACTAGCAAGAGATGAGCAGCAGCTGAGCCTCCTCCTGCTCCTCTTCCCATCAGCCTCATCAGTGTCCCACAACAGCACCAAAACTTTTGATGCCCGCTTGAGAAAGCCCAGGACCAGGTTGTGACTTGTGTGAAGTACTTAGTTCAGCAACACACTAACCCTCTCTGATGGATAATAATAGCTGCAGGGAACAAACACGAGAACTTAAATTACTACTTCACAATAATGTATGACATCATGGGCACCTGGAATAAATCACAAGACATGAGCAATGGTGCAAAAAAGATATACCTTTGCCCTGTTTTGGGATGAAATAGCATTAAAATTCCTTTTTGAGAACTAGAATAGTGCTGTGTTTTGGATTTAGCTTTGGGTTTCGTATCAGCAGAATGCTGATAGCACATTGATGTTTTCAGCTTCTACTGCTATTTCAAAAACTCTCCCACTCCCCATGTCCTGCCCGTGCACAAGTGCACAAGAAGCAGAGAAGGAGCACGGCCAGATCACCAGACCCAAACTGGCCAGTGAAATATTCCATATCATGGAACGTCATGCTCACTGCAGAGGAGGGGTGGTAGGGAAGGGGCTCTCTCTCACTTGCTTTCAGGATTGTGATTGAGGGATCTTGGTATTTCGGGGTCACTAGCCAGGAACAGGCTGGGTATTGATCAGTGGGTGGTGAGCAACGGCATTGTGCATTGCATATTTTCTATTACTGTCATTGTTCTCATTTTAAATATTACCATTATTAAACTGGTTTTAGCTCAACCTGCGAGTCCCCCTTTACCCCTCCAATACCCTCCCCCATTCCCAGGTGGTGGTGGTGGTGGGGGGGGGTAATCAGCTGAGGGGTGGTTGGCTGCTGACCAGGCTCAAACCATGACAACTTTGTTCAAAATCAGAGGGCCAGGAAAGAATCTGGGTAGATGTCGCATTGTTTATGAGGAATACATATTATATTCTTCACAAACTCCTTGGTGATGGATGTACACACCAACACTCAAATTCAGTAAATGTTGAATAAGGTAATGCTGGAGCCTCCTATAAATAGCTAAAGAGAAGATGGCAGTATTTTCATAAAAAGAATGAGAATAGCGGAAGAACCAGAAAAAAAGACTTCTGCTTTCCTCAGTTTACTGAGTCTTCTAATGAAGTCTGGCAAGGAGAGCAATTCTTGCATGGCTGTTCCTGGCAGCAAGCCACAGCAAACCGTGTAAAAGAGGACAAAAGACTGAAGACACATTGGAGTTTTAATCCAGCTAAACCCCAAAGCTTTCTAAATTACATGAGCATTTAGAAATATTAAAATGGGGGGGGGGGGGGGGGGGGAATCACCCAGATGGCAGGATGAACATAAACGAGTAGCAAAGAAACTTGAATCACGTTCTCCTCGCCGACACGTTTAAGTCAGACAACCTGAAAGCTGCCAAGTAAGACCTGTACAAGAGATGGGGCTGCCCAGGTCCACCCCCGGCCAGGCCGGTAACACACCTTCACACGGGCAGGAGCAGAACTCAAGCACGGGAAGATGCTGGCGGCTCTTCGGGGCGAGCGAAGGCCCCTGCGAGGGCATTTACGCGTTGGGCGATGGCGGCGCTGGGACTCGGCCGGAGGCACGTCAGCACCTCGCGGGTTTGCCAACAAGCAGCTCAGCACCGGCTCCCGGAACACTCTTGCAGACACCGCCGCCGCCGCCCCACCGCTCCCGAGGCGGCGGGGGAAACCCGGCATCGGCGCCGCTCCGTGGCCCGCACCCCCTGCGCAGCTCCGCGCCGCGGCAGCCAGCAGTCTCTGGATGCCGCGCTACCAGGTTTACCGAAGCGAGCTGGACGCGGAGCAGCCTGCTGTCGCTTTCGCCCTAGCAGGATGGCTGTCGTTTAGTTTAATTGACGGGGCGGGGTGGGGGGGAGAGCAGAAGGCCCGGCCGGCCATGCCCGCCCCCGGCCGCCGCTCCCGGCCCCATGACGGGGCGGGCCCCGCCCGAGCGCGGCGCTTGGCGAGGGCCGCGGGCGGGGCCGGGGCCGCCGCCACCTCCCCCCCCGTCGCCTGCCCAGCGGTGGCCGGCCCTGCCGGCGGTGGGGCCCGCCATGGGGCTGTGCCTGCCCTGCATGGAGGGGGCCGTCAAGGACGTGGTGGAGACGCCCGACCCGGTGAGTTCCTCCCTCCCTCCCTCCCCGGCTGTTTGCGAGCGGGCAGTGACGCCCGGCGGCAGCGGGACGGGGGCGGGGGCCGGGCCGCCTTCCTTAAAATGGAGGCCGGGCGCGGGCGGTGCCGCTCGGGGAGAGGCCCGATGGCTGCCGCGGAGCCCCGGGCAGCGGCCGTGCGGGGGGAAGGCGGCCTCTGGGCCTCCGCCGGGCGCTTGTGTGGGGACCGGGGACTTCGGGCCACGATGGAGGCCGAGATGGCCCTCGTTTTAACCAAAACCGGGAAAACCTGCGCTCTTCTCTTCGCCGCACGGTGATGCTCACTTCTAACTAAGCTTCGTGGCACCACATTTCTCCTACGCTGTTGTACCTCTCCCATGAGGATCCTGTAGGGGAAGCGGTAAAGGAGCCCATTCGGCCTGGGAGAGTGACCTTTCCCGCTTTCAAACTCCAGAAGGACATTTCACACACTACTCGTCTTCGCAGTCCAGTCTGAGTATTTTGGAGTGAAGGCGTAGTACAGACAGACAGCTGAACACAGATTTCTGATGGGGTTGCAGCGTGGGCATGACAGCTGCTGCTCTTCTAGCGTATTAGTCACTAAAAACACTTTGTTCTTGCAGACTGGCAAAGGAGGGAAAGATGATGCTAGTTGACTTAAGGTTGGCATTTCATGGCAGTTTGCATTCCAGATTTGAGTCATATTTAAAAATTAAGACTTTCAAAAGAATGTACAGACTGTATTGGAATAGAGTTTCACTGTCTTTCACATTTCATTTAGGAAATAAGAAGACAACAGCTAGCAGAAGCTGCTGAAAAGAGGCAGATGGAGGTAATGTCTGATAAAATGCCATGTATTCGAAACATATTTAGGTAACTGGTTTATGGGGAAAATAGCTAGGGCTTCTGTGGCAACACTGGATATCATGTCTGGAGTGTGGGAATTGTCATTAAATATTTTCATAGTATTACTGGTTTACTTGATACCATTTTTTACATATATTTACAATAGAGTTTCACAGCTAGGTAGGTACTGAAACACCATTACAAGATAACTGAGTTCGGATTGGAGAAGTTTTGCAGTAGTTAAAAAAAGAACCTAAGAATTGGAAGAGCAAGTTCAACATTATTTTTCTTGTGATAAGACTTGAAAACAAGAGATTGAGAAATATTTCAAACCAGAGTTGTCAGTTACTGTAGTGGCAGTTTCAAGTGGTACTGCACTGGTACTTCTCTTACAAATACAGGTTATGGTCACTTGCAAGTTCAGTTTATCAACATAACAACAACTGAGCACATCTCTCAGCTTAAATTCCAGCAAAGTAGTATCATATTTTTAAGGTTGCTATGCTTTAACCACTTCAATATCCTTAAAGTTAGAAGAGGTAGGACGCAAATGTTCTAGCAGAACGTAAAGCTAGCTAGCCCATTTCTTCATTTCCATACCTCTCAAAAAGGCTTAGAGCACACTCCATACAAAATCTACAATAAGTGGAAAGCGTATCTTAGAGACCACAGCTGAACTATGAAAAGAAAGGAATGTATTATTTTTATGAGTGTTAGTGACATTACATATAGAATTAAAAATTGGCCATTATCGATGAGTACCATGTTGACCTGGTTTTAAGGGAGTTTGGTGAGTAATTGGAGCAACAGCTGAGTGATGCTCATGGTTTTGTGTCAGACTATATACTGACAGCAATCCACATGTAATTTAAATTGCAAAGAGTTTTTTAAGCATAACCGTAGGAAATACACTTTTGAGAAGCACATGAAAAGGGAACGGACCCATTTAGCTCCTAGTTTTCTAAAAAGATTTCCTGAGTGGAGGGAGAGATGAAGCAGCTTGAGTTATGGATGGCTTTGAAGTTTGGTGGTACCTGTTAAGCTGCTAAAGAAAAATGAAAGTATCAATCCCTGTTATTTTGGGGGTTTTTTGAAAGACAAAGAGTTAAAACATCTATCAGGGTTTTTGTATTTTTAAGAGCATTTTAGTGTCTGAATATTGTGTAATAGAGATGTCTTACAAACAGCCCAATTCAGTTTCCCACTCGTGAGGGACAAGGGAGTAGATCAGAAGCCCTTCTCTGCTTACTCTTTTCCTGTACATGCTTCTTAACTGCTTATTATTCAGCCTGAAGTCATGTGAGGTATTCTTCCTTTTGGGATGCCGTAGAGACAGTCTGGGTACCTCACTCATTTGGAAGGCCAGGTGCCTAAAAGCTAGACATCGCAAGGTCTAAGTAAGTTACTATTTGTTACTAAGATTTGCTCTGTTAGCCCATTGAGAATTGTGTTGGTCGTCAGGGCCCTGATTTTCACTTGAGAGAATTACTGTTTTCCCCTGGTGGATTTTAACTTCTTCTGTATAGCTTACGCTGTAGTATCATAACCCTAAGCTTAGCTAAGAATCAGGTTTTTATCACATTTTCATTCTAGTTTTACAGCATTAATTGTTTGTCCGTAATTCTGATACTCCTGCCATCTAGTCTAGGCCCTCATTAGACTGTCACTATGAGGATGTGAAGCAGGCAGTTGACAAGTTTCTTATCTGTGTACTACTGCTATCCACATGTCCTGTGAAGTTTGAAGGGTAGACTATCACACAGATCACAATTTACAAGTTTGATTTCTTGTGGCCTGGGCTAGCACTACTAACACAACCTTTTTTTCTCTCCTGCATGTAAGGTTCCCATCAATTTCTGTAGTAGCTGTACAGAGCTTGTGACTCTGTCTGCTTATTAGAACAGAAGCTGTCATGGTTTCATCATCTGTAGCCTATCTCTAGGTAGCCTGATATAATGAGATGGAAGAAGTGAACAGATGATGAAACAGCTTAAGTTCTTTTAAGTTGTGTCTGTCCAAATCATCTCTCCCCAGTTAATTCTGTTTGTGAGGGCAAGAATAGGCCCTGACACTGGAAAAACTACAAACTAAAAATTTATGGGACTTTGGGGAGGGAGGTTCTGGTTCTGCATCTTCGGATGCAAATCAGGTACACATAATTGCATTAAATATGTTCACCTGGATGTAATAATCACATGAAACAAAAACACCCTCACATACCTATAGGACCAAGAGCTCACAGTATGAAGAAATATCATGAAAGGTCTGCATTTAACGTAATAGCAGCATTACTTAATTTTTCAGTCTTTTCATGCAAACCAGAGTTCACCAAATAGTGTTGCCAAGACTTGCTGTTTGCTTTCTATCCATAAAAATTGCTAACTGGTCTTACCCAAATTTGTTTTCTCTCAGGCTTCCTCTCGAGGTATTAAGAATGCTCACTCTGTAGAGCATAAGAAAAAGAAACAGGAAGAAATAGAAAAAAGAATTGCAGCTTCAGGTTCTGGAGGAGAAGGAGGACTGAGAGTAAGTTTAAAAAAGAAAACATGATGCAACTGTCCATATATTCACTGATAAAATCCTGTTTTGTTGTCATGTACAAGATAGAATAAGTTGAGGAAAAAACAAGAAGGGAAATCAGAGTAGAAATGGAAGTATGTGTCATTATCACGCAGTGTTCTCAGTGAGACTTCATATCTGGGACACAAAGCAAAGATGGCAGAGAGCTTCCCCCCCCACCACATTTTTCCCAGTTTGTGCACCTGCGATGCATCAGTTGTACAGTACTCTCAGCCCTGGGGCTCCTCACAGAGCTGACCTGTGCTTGGCATCAGTGTCCTTTTTTCAGTACTGGCTGAGGTTCTCTCTCTTCCCCCAGAGTTTGCAGGAAGCATTTGAACTAAGGTAGTGGCTTTGGGTTTCATGTATCTGCCTTTACAAGAGAGACATACACTGACTGTGCTGGCAGAGATTCTGGTGAGCTTTACTGCTACTATTTTTGTAATGTAAACTTTAGGAAGGCCAGGCAGAGATTTAGTTAGGAACTGGAATCTCTCCCAGGCAATAGATGCATCTGATTAGTGAAACACAACCCTCTTAAGCCTTCATCTCTTACCCTTATTGCTATATGGGACTTGGGGGATAGGAGTTTGTACAAGCTGCTGCTGGTAGGGCTGCATGTCCCTCACTTGCTGGATATAAATGATGTTACAATGGGGAATTTTTTATCTTCAGACAACCTTGTGATGTTTGGGGTTTTTCTATGTTTGATTGGGGTTTTTTTCCTTTCTTTCCCCTATCTTTATACAAACCTGTGGCACGTATCGTTGTTTATGTCTTTAGTGGCAGGTTGGATAAAGAAGCATGACTTCTGAAGAGAAAATGATTGATGTTTACTGCCAGTAACTTGCCAGTTTCTGCAGCTGAGTGGCACTTACTCATCCTGTGGCTTTTGCTGTCTGCATCTGAAGACTCAGCAGTACTTTGCCATTGTGGGAGAGCAGATGTGGAAACATGCACTAAGAAGCTTCAAACTAACTCTGAACACTAAAGTTTTGGCCAAAGTTTTTGTTTGTTTGTTTTATGTGCATGTTTTATTGCTTCCCTGTCAAGGGAGTGAAATGAATTTTCTCACATGGAAGTGGTGTCCCTACCTGTAGTGGGTCTGTAGGTGTATGCTGTTTGGTCAGTTGATGTATGTCTGTCTGCATATGACTGGCTTAGGCACAGCTCAGTTGCCTGTGTGTTGTTTCAGTTGCTTCTTTCAAGCTCTACAATTAAACTTTTTCTCTAATTCCTCATGTAGAAAGTTGTTCATAAATATATATATTTGAATATGTGGGTGACAGCATTTCTCTTCAGTTTCCTCATGACTTTTGAGCTGCTTAGGGATTTAGTGCCTTTTTCAAAAAAGAAACTGGGTTGTTACAAACGGAAGCATTTTGTGACACTACTTAAAAAAATAGAAACCTTTGTAAAGCCTGTATACTTACAGCAAGAAAGCTGTTTTACTATGGGTCTAATAATTGTTCTCCTAATTTTCTGATGTGGATTTATTTTGAGTCTGTTAAGTATTTAATATTTAACTTCCAGTATTCATAATAAATTTAAAATACTGTTATTAATTGTTCTCCTTTATTACCACACGAGGGCAGTGCTGCACTTCTCAGGATTTTGAAAAACAAAAAGCAAAAGACATATGTCATCTCTTGGATGGTTCCTTTGCTAAAGTTTCTGTACTCACTAGGTGCATTTATTACAACACAGTAGCATTTGCTAAATGCCCAAAGCTCTGTTACTTTTATTCTGTTTTCAGCAGTGTCTCTAATGCCTTTCCCAAATGTGAAGCTGCCTTTGATTGTTTCGAGCTGCCAAAACCTCAGTGTTACAACTGGACTTGCAAACTAGTGGGCTCAAGCCACTGCTATAATAGAGGAGGGAAGTTCGTTGCAGCATGATCCACACAAGAACCTAGCTCTTCTTTTTCCCCCCACCCCGAGGGCATTATGCTTGGCCTCAGTATCTTACTGGCCCCATTTCTGACCTAGTTTAGGCTATAGCGGCTTTTTTTTTTTTTTCTCTAAATATTTCTTCTTTCTTCTGACGGAATAGTGTCTCATGCTGTTTTAGGAGTGCGATCCTGACACAGTGAGTTTCCTGGCTTTGTCTTCAGAATTGAGTTGGGAAGGGAGACTTGTCAATATTAATACAACGGTGTTTTGGTTAAAAAATCTGTGTCCTTGACAGATGAGTATCTTCAGTTTGCTTTGATTGCTGGCAATTGCTCTCTTCACTCTATTAACTGGTCATCGTGTATTTTTTTAAGTCTGATGAAAATGCATTGAATTATAATAAAATATACTAAACATTAATTGGAAATGTGAATTTCAATCTAACAGGTGTCACAGTGGGCATCTTACAAAGATGCTTAAGCAGCACTACACACTTAGTTGGTTACTTGGCATATTTAAACTTAATAAAACCTTCTCTTCATTCTCTGTCATGCTGCTTCTCAAAACCATAAGGGGAGGAAATAACAGTCAGTCTCTTTTCATCCAAACCCCTCCTGATTGAAAGAGCTAACACACTGACCGAACAGGACTCTCTGCCTGGATAATATCATGAAGACTTTCATTTAAAACTACTGAAATAACCTAACGAAACAAATCACAGTTCCTGGGTCACCCCTCGATGTTTCAGGGTTGTCAAAATCGGAGGAGTTCCCAGGGTGAAGCAGTCCCTGTGCTGCCCGAGGCAAGCCTGCTCCCCTGCTCCAGGTGCTGTCACCAGTAGAGGTGCTTTGCATGTGGGTGAGACATGGCCATTTGCATTGGGTGAGTCACAGATCTGAATTGCCTCAGATCAAGTAGACCTTGTACTTAAAAGTGATAATTGCAATTCAGAATTACCATGGAAGAAAACACTGCTCTTCTCTCTCCATCCATTAAGTAAAAGCTGGGTAAGTTTGTGCTTCTTCAGACTCCTTGTTTTGAATGTGAATTTTATTCCTACAGCTATGAAACACAACAGAAGATTTGGGCATGTGTAGTTCTCTACTGCTAATCAATGATTGATAAAGCTATTTTTAAAGAGGTTTCTATACCATACCCATCTAACTGTTCAGATGGCTAGTCTTAATCTTGGAAATCATTTGGGTAAATAAGAACACGTCTTGCTGGTTTAAGTTTTTTGGTAACATTAGTTTCAGTTAAACTGAAAGCAGCAAATACTGCAGTTCAGTCGTGTACACCTAATGGTTACTTGCACATACTGTTAAATAGTAAGGCTGAGAGCTGCATCAGAGCTGCTCTACCCTTGTACAACTAGACGTCTCCCCTCTCCTTATGACAGTGCTAAGTAAATATGAAACACAGCAACAATTTTGTCCTTATATCCATCAATTCCAGATGTCTACTTCACCTCAGAGGCTGTTAAAATACATCCATTCATGTAGATTATCTAGGCAGTTAACATTTGTTTTACTTTACAGCAGTAAAATTACACCTTCCTTCTCCACCTTCTGAAAGCATTTTCTGGCAGTCAAAGACCACGTCAGCTGAAATGGAAGGGCTGACTGACTGCAATAGCATAATCTTTGTTGCAGTAACAGAATATGAAACCATCTGCTACTGCATATTGTTAAAACACACAGATTATGCCAGGGAGAAAGTGTTTGGGGCAGAAGTCCCTGCCGTTTGGGAGGACACCGAAGCTGCATCCCCACAGGGGTAGGGAGCATCACCGCGTGCCTGTAGGAAAACGGGTGACTTCAGCCTCTGGATTTGGCACCGTGACAGACTAAGTCCTGGGGACACAACTCACCAGGCACAAGCAGTGCCAGCAATTGCACTGGGATGGAAGAACCTCTCCAGTCCCATAAACAGTTGCATGATCCCACGTGCCTGCTTCACCTTACTTCAGATTCCTAACATTCCACAGGCTAAGAAAGCAGGAGACTGAGCTAAGAAAAAAGTAACCTCCTTCCCCGCCAGGTACCCCACATTCACAGCCAACGAGACAGCACAAAACACCATGCCAAGAACCACCAAACCCTTGTAAGCATCTCCAGCAGATGCTTCTGTAACACCGCAGTGTGGCAAACAGCTCATCTCCCTGATCTAAAACAAACACATATAATGCATTCGGTGTTGGGTCTTAAAAGAATCCTGCCCTACCTTCCTACACACATACATTGACGCCTCGCTATTTCACTCATTCCCACAACAGCCCTTGTACTCGTTTCCATAGATTTTTAAGTATCAACTCTAAATTGCTATTTGAAAAAAGGTGGTAATGCAAAGGAAGGAGCAATTAAAAGATTAGAAAATAAAACCTCCTATCCTCAATCAGTTATGTAAATAATCCTACTTGGAAGAAAAACTCCAGGTGATATATGAATAGTTAGGTGACAGAAGGTACCTCCTGCAGGAAGCAATAACAGATGTGGCAGTTACATTTCCAAACTAATTGTGAATAGCTTCCAGCACGGTGACGCTTAATTGACATTATACAATAATAAGCATTTTTTAAAGTAATTTTACATGATTTAGCCATCTTGAGTTTTAGCACAGTTGATTATTCACAGCCAGCGGGAGCTCCCATGGGGTTTGTTCTATGACCAACAAGGACTTAGAGAAGAGGGTTTGTTACAGCTCCTAATAGTTCAACTTCTGGGGACTTTCAGCATCCTCAGCACTTCCCTTCAGCTGATTTATAGAGCAATAGAGTAAGCTTAAATCACGATATGGCGCTCTTCCTTACAATCATCCTCCATGGCTAGTTCAACATTTCAGCATCTCATCATCCGCCCTTTTAACAAGAAACTATTTCACAGTCCTAGCAGACCCTCCCTCACTTGGGGGGACAAGAGAAGAGCTGCAAGAATTCCATGCTGGCACTCTGCAACTCACTTCAGCCTCATAGAAATCAACACTAGATACCTTAATACCATAGGTTTTGGCACGGAAGCTTCAAGGAGCATCCACTACAGCTAGCTAGTCAAACCATGGGGTTTTTTTCTCCCCAGATACTCTCTACATGAAATCTCTTCTGCCCCCAGCACTGCAACTAGAGCCCTGACTCTTTGCACAACATTTTGCTGCCCCACTTTAGCCTTGTAATTTGATCCTTAAACTCCAACCAACCCCCCCCCTCCCCCCCAACTCCTACATTGCCATAGAGTCTAATACACTAAGAAAACACAATTTATTAGAGCAGCAACACTTACCTTTTCAGAGGGGTACTCCAAAGCCCTTCCTCAAGAATTGGGCAGCTTACTGAAGTTCTTTTTTCTCTTTGCTCTACTTATTGATGTTCCTGCTTTAATTTCCTCCTCGGCTATCCACACCCACACCAGGTGCATCAAATGCAGCAAGTCCCACCTGCAAGCTTTTTACACAGATTAGGTGGTAGTGGCCATACTCTAAAAAGTCCTTTATAGGTCTCACATTCTGGAACTGCCTAAGTTGAAGTTTTAAGTCCTGAAGTGTTTTAATGTGATTTTTTTTTTTTTTTAAAGGTGTTTGAGGACTCTAAATCAAAAAGACTATTTTGATAGTTACATCCAAGCACATAAAGCAGTTCACATTTGATTTAAAAATCTCAGTTTGGATTTACCAGTATTATTTGTTGAAGTTGAACATTAAAATAAACTTAGAAATACTTTTTTTTTTTATATAATTATCTGCTGTTGATTTATTAACATATAAACAGCTTCAAATATTTTAAAGAAAAAAATAGTATTTAAAACTTAATCTTGGATGATGGAAACACAGCTATGTTTAAAAAAGTAACCATTATTTCAAAATAAACATCTGACACTTCCACAAGTTTGCTTTTTTTTTCTTCTCTGTTCATTTGAAAACAGATCTCTAACTGCATATATTAAGATCCTGATTTTTTTCAGCTGTGCTGCATTTTTTTTTTAAACAAGGTTACTTATGGTGTGTTTCCCTAATGGCTACATACAGTGCTTCTATGAGAACTGGGTCTTCCTAAGCCTTTTCAGAGGATTTACTGCTTGACTATATATTTAATCTTCCTAGAACATGTCTCAAGAATAAAAGGCTGCAATTTTTCTTTCAAAAAACATGTTTTAAATTCTGTACGTCTACTTAGTATGGTGTACCAAGCAGTTGTGAATTGTCTGTATTTAGCAGGTATTTTTATCCGGTGAGGTAGAATGGTTCCACAGAAATGAGATACAACGTGCTGATTTTAGTAAGTCATGGAACATGGAAGAAGGTGGTCTTGATCTTGTCTAGCCAGTAAGTATTTTGCTGTTAATTTTAAAGACCACAGGAGCAGATCAAAAGGCTATGTTTTAAAATTAAATATCAAAAACTACAGAAAAATACCACTTGGTACTTAAAGAAATATTTCAAGAACACTTTTGATTTTTTTTCTTTCCTTGCAAAGGCAAATTAATTTTCCATAAAATCCAGGTATTTCTTTGCTATCTATAGTAAGTGAAAGCTTGCCCCATTCACTGTGTAGGTCATTATTAGATTAGCAAGCAATATTGTATTGTATCCAGTCTGTAGCAACAAAATGTGGGAACACAGATTACAGATAATAAATAAGACTTTCAAAATGTATGAGTAGTTTAAAAAGTTTTATTTC